AGTCCCAATCAAATATGTATCAACATATTCAACTGGGAGACAAGTTGTTTAAGCCCTAATATTAAACAGCACATTTGCAGAGGTAGTTTTCAGGTACCGGGTATGTGCTTTGTCTCTATTTATTGCACTTTAGGCATCTAGGCCAGTGAAAATATAAAAGTTGCACCAGACATCTAGGCCAGTAGAAATATAAAAGTTGCACCAGACATCTAGGCCAGTAGAAATATAACAGTTGCACCAGACATCTAGGCCAGCAGAAATATAACAGTTGCAACAGTCGTCTAGGCCAGTAGAAATATAACAGTTGCAACAGACGTCTAGGCCAGTAGAAATATAACAGTTGCAACAGACGTCTAGGCCAGTAGAAATATAACAGTTGCACCAGACATCAGGGCGCCACTAGAAATATAACAGTTGCAACAGTCGTCTAGGCCAGTAGAAATATTACAGTTGCAACAGACGTCTAGGCCAGTAGAAATATAACAGTTGCAACAGACGTCTAGGCCAGTAGAAATATAACAGTTGTACCAGACGTCTAGGCCAGTAGAAATATAACAGTTGCACCAGACATCAGGGCGCCACTAGAAATATAACAGTTGCACCAGACATCTAGGCCAGTAGAAATATAACAGTTGTACCAGACGTCTAGGCCAGTAGAAATATAACAGTTGTACCAGACGTCTAGGCCAGTAGAAATATAACAGTTGTAGCAGACGTCTAGGCCTGTAGAAATATAACAGTTGCACCAGACATCAGGGCGCCACTAGAAATATAACAGTTGCACCAGACATCTAGGCCAGTAGAAATATAACAGTTGTACCAGACATCTAGGCCAGTAGAAATATAACAGTTGTACCAGACGTCTAGGCCTGTAGAAATATAACAGTTGTAGCAGACGTCTAGGCCTGTAGAAATATAGCAGTTTTACCAGACATCAGGGCCACTAGAAATATAACAGTTGCACCAGACATCAGGGCCACTAGAAATATAACAGTTGCACCAGACATCGAGGCCTGTAGAAATATAACAGTTGCACCAGACATCTAGGCCAGTAGAAATATAACAGTTGCACCAGACATCTAGATACTGTAAATCGTGAAATAAATGCGTCTCCAAAGACTTATGTAAAAGTGGTTGCCAGGATCAAATGCCACTAGCATTTGTCCAGTTGGCCAGCCTATTTGTGAAGCCCTGTTACTGATGTATCACTACAGGAGGACATCAAACAGTGTGTACATAGTGTATTAAACTATAAATGATATACAGTCAAGTGTATTGGAAATGATAATTTGGCAGAAAATAACCTGCTCTGTTGTTTGTGAAATCAACAATAATGTGCACAGCTGTTGTGGTTTGGAATAATGTGCTGTAAACTGTGTACCTGACATGATTGAAGGAGGATCACGTTTCAGCCTATACCAGCCTGTGTACATCACCATGTAGCCCATCTCACAGATGTTCATGAGTATGGAATGCATGAATCAAATACAAATCAACACTGGAATTATGTTTAAGAGATCTAGGCCTTAAGACTCCGACAAAATATTCCAAACTTTGCTCATGAAAGTGATATAATGCTGATTGTGTCTTTCTCCCATGTTGAATATGATGTTTGTTTGTTTGTTTGTTTGTTTGTGGTTGAATGCTGCACACCCAAATATTCCAGTTAGATGATGGTGAGTCCAGTGATTGGAATATGATGTCTGGTGGTGATGTTTGCTGACCGACCCTCAGTTCCCGTTAGTTGCCTCTTATGGTTAGCATGGGTTGCTGAAGACCTATTGTTATCTGGATCTTCACAGTCTCTGACATGATGGTGTTACCATGGTAGAGTGAGTGAGGGAGTGAGTATGGTTTTATGCCGCTTTTAACAATATTCCAGCAATATCATGGTGGGGGACACCACAAATGGGCTTCACAAATTTTACCCATGTCAGGAATTGAACCCGGGTCTTCAGCATGACAAGCGAATGCTCTAACCACTAGGCTACCCGACCACCCCTTACCATGGTAGACATTAGTAGGCCCATGAAGCGGCAAAGATGTCACAGAAACTGGTGATGTCAAGTAGCCATGGTCACATCTGAACTGAAATGAATACATTTTTGTTTGTACCAAAAACAGTTTTTGAAATATAGAATATTTGCTTTTATACGCAAAAGGATCACAGATGAGCATATTACAAAGGTTTAGGAACTTTATCGAACATGAGTGTATGATGTGACTGATATTGCTGACACTTGGCATCAGGAAGGGCAATAATCATAATAATAATGTTTGTGAATATATTCTTCAGCTTAGTACAACACTGTAACACTGATGGCAATAACAAAGAGTGAGTGAGTGAATGAGTTGGGTTTAACGCCGCTTTTAACAGTATTCCAGTTATATCACGGCATGTCAGCTTAATGTGGGAGGAAAGCCCGAAGTGATGCAGGTCTCAGACGTTTACCACTTCGGTGAATCCCATGAGCACAGGTATGGTGCTGACCATGCTGACAAACCTAGAAACATAATTGGGGCGAACTGGGATTCGAACCCACAATCATAGGTTTCTGATGTGACCAAGGGACGCAACTCTGCACAGCAAATTGCGGCGCCTTAGACGACTGGGCCACCCGTGCCCCCAATAACAAAGAGCAAGAATGACTTCTATGTGTTGGCCTATATCCTACATTGTTTAAGCTACAGGTGTTTGAGTAAGTCTATATAACATTAAAATGATAGCAATGTCTGTTGTGGGTCAGAGAGCCTTGGTATATGTGTTTAAGAATATGTTTTTTTGATATGTTAGACATGACATATTCAAAGACTGTTCTTTGTTCAAGAGTCTGAATGTCAGTCAAGCCATGATGGCAGCTCCATATCATCTTCATGAATATACCATGTATACATTGGAATAGATGCATGCATAAACAATAGGAACGGTCAATAAATAATGAATAAAGTAACATATGCACCGGCAATAGGTATCTTGGATAATTTTATTATGATAATGAGTGTTTGTGTGCAGCCTTTCAAGGTGAGGAAATACAATCACCGAATCTGAATAATTTTTGCAAGGAGACAATTATATTGAAGCAGTATATTGTAATGGTGCCATGGTATCTGATATTGGTTTTATCACAGAAGGATCCAAAGATCAGGTGCAGGGGTGCTGACGTTGATGTATAAAAAACAACTTATTACAAAATCATTTAGAGACATTTGGCTATTCTTTTTGGCAAATTGTTACCCAGTTATGTGCAAGGATTTTTGTATGTCTTTAAGTGCTTACTTTATGATGCTCACTGGATGTTGGTTTGTTTATTTGTTGTTTAACGCCGCACTCAGCAATATTCCAGCTATATGACGGCAGTCTGTAAATAATCGAATCCAGTGATTGACATCATGAGCATGGATCCATGCAATTGGGATCGATGACATGTATCAACCAAGTCAGCGAGCCTGACCACCCAATGCCGTTAGTCGCCTCTTACGACAAGCATAGTAGCTTTTGTCGGCAAGCATGGGTTGCTGAAAACCTGTTCTTACCCGGATCTTCACGGATCTCATATACAATAGAATGACATGATGACAGAATGTATTACATCATCTGTTATCATGGCAACCACTGAACCATTGTTGGAACTATTCAACCAGAAATGACCAGTGTTTTCCATCAAGTTTTGATGACATTGGACCTACAATCATAGAATTACGCTTGAAAACTTAAATCTTCCAGATTTCTCGATCATATCTAGACCGATGAAGATCGGGTTAGAATGTCCTCAGCAACCCATGCTTGAGGTGACTAACAGGATACGGGTGGTCTGACTTGCTGACTTGGTTGATGCATGTCATCATAATCATATCCCTACTGCTTGGCTCGATGCTCATGATATTAATGACTGAATTATCTGGTCCAGACTCGAATATAGCTGGAATATTGGTGAGTGCGGCGTGAAACAACAAACAACTCATATCATCTAGTAAGCATTGTTGAGTGAATGAAAATAAGAACTAGCACAGTTACCTAAGTCATAGATAAGTTATTGTGTTGCATGTAACATATCCTGTCAAGACCACACCCATCTTGAGAAAGTACTTATGTGTTACTGACATTGACAATGAAATTCAATGTAGTTGATATATTTAGCATGTGTATGAACACAGCCGTGGTTATATATGATCCCAGCAGGGCTCCAGCCTACGGCCCCATCAGCTGTCCCTACTGTTCTCCACAGCACCTCTACTTAGTCATCTCATAGTCTGTAATATCTCATAAGTATCTGTTATGTGAAATAATCTGAGACAATCTTACTGTCGGGTGTAGATTTTGTTTCAGCCCCACCTGATTTGCTGTGACATTTGCAGAGATGGTGTGTAGACTTAAACTAGTGCACACAGTTGTGTTGGAGCTAGTCTTGTGTTGAGGTTAGGGTGTGAAGGTAGAGAGGTGCAGACAGTTGTGTTGGAGCTAGTGTTGAGACGGCAGTAAGCACCATGACCAGGGATGTGGATTCAGTTCAGACTGGCCCGGAGTTTGAACTATGGACAGTGTTTGGCCACAAAGGTGATGTCTTATTCCCCCACCTAGTTTTCTGGCCAGTACTTAATGTGTGAAACCCATGTTTTGATTTCCTATAGATTCATCCTGTTGGCAAAGTGATGTTTTCTCTAAATATTTATTGTCTTCATTCCTTTATTTCCGTTCAATTTGATCTGGACCAATCCTGTTCAGCGATACACCTGATACATCTGAGCCATACACCTTACCCTGTTCAGCCATACCCCTTACCCTGTTCAGCCATACACCTTACCCTGTTCAGCCATACACCTTACCCTGTTCAGCCATACACCTTACCCTGTTCAGCCATACCATGTTCAGCCATACAGCTTACCCTGTTCAGCCATACACTTTACCCTGTTCAGCCATACACCTTACCCTGTTCACCCATACACCTTACCCTGTTCAGCCATACAGCTTACCCTGTTCAGCCATACACCTTACCCTGTTCAGCCATACCCCTTACCCTGTTCAGCCATACACCTTACCCTGTTCAGCCATACACCTTACCCTGTTCAGCCATACCCCTTACCATGTCCAGCCATACACCTTACCCTGTTCAGCCATACCCCTTACCCTGTTCAGCCATACACCTTACCCTGTTCAGCCATACCCCTTACCCTGTTCAGCCATACCCTGTTCAGCCATACACCTTACCCTGTTCAGCCATACACCTTACCCTGTTCAGCCATACACCTTACCCTGTTCAGCCATACCCCTTACCATGTCCAGCCATACACCTTACCCTGTTCAGCCATACCCCTTACCATGTCCAGCCATACACCTTACCCTGTTCAGCCATACCCCTTACCATGTCCAGCCATACACCTTACCCTGTTCAGCCATACCCCTTACCATGTCCAGCCATACACCTTACCCTATTCAGCCATACACCTTACCCTGTTCAGCCATACACCTTACCCTGTTCAGCCATACACCTTACCCTGTTCAGCCATACCCCTTACCCTGTTCAGCCATACACTTTACCCTGTTCAGCCATACACCTTACCCTGTTTAGCCATACACCTTACCCTGTTCAGCCATACCCCTTACCCTGTTCAGCCATAGACCTTACCCTGTTCAGCCATACACCTTACCCTGTTCAACCATACACTTTACCCTGTTCAGCCATACACCATACCCTGTTCAGCCATACACCTTACCCTGTTCAGCCATACACCTTACCCTGTTCAGCCATACCCCTTACCCTGTTCAGCCATACCCTGTTCAGCCATACACCTTACCCTGTTCAGCCATACCCCTTACCATGTCCAGCCATACACCTTACACTGTTCAGCCATACACCTTACCTTGTTCAGCCATACACCTTACCCTGTTCAGCCATACACCTTACCCTGTTCAGCCATACCCCTTACCCTGTTCAGCCATACCCCTTACCCTGTTCAGCCATACCCCTTACCCTGTTCAGCCATACACCTTACCCTGTTCAGCCATACACCTTACCCTGTTCAGCCATACCCCTTACCATGTCCAGCCATACACCTTACCCTGTTCAGCCATACCCGGTTCACCCATACCCTGTTCACCCATACACCTTACCCTGTTCACCCATACACCTTACCCTGTTCACCCATACACCTTACCCTGTTCACCCATACACCTTACCCTGTTCAGCCATACCCCTTACCCTGTTCAGCCATACACCTTACCCTGTTCAGCCATACCCCTTACCCTGTTCAGCCATACCCTGTTCAGCCATACACCTTACCCTGTTCAGCCATACCCCTTACCATGTCCAGCCATACACCTTACCCTGTTCAGCCATACCCCTTACCATGTCCAGCCATACACCTTACCCTGTTCAGCCATACCCCTTACCATGTCCAGCCATACACCTTACCCTATTCAGCCATACACCTTACCCTGTTCAGCCATACACCTTACCCTGTTCAGCCATACACCTTACCCTGTTCAGCCATACCCCTTACCCTGTTCAGCCATACACTTTACCCTGTTCAGCCATACACCTTACCCTGTTTAGCCATACACCTTACCCTGTTCAGCCATACCCCTTACCCTGTTCAGCCATAGACCTTACCCTGTTCAGCCATACACCTTACCCTGTTCAGCCATACCCCTTACCCTGTTCAGCCATACCCTGTTCAGCCATACACCTTACCCTGTTCAGCCATACCCCTTACCATGTCCAGCCATACACCTTACACTGTTCAGCCATACACCTTACCTTGTTCAGCCATACACCTTACCCTGTTCAGCCATACACCTTACCCTGTTCAGCCATACCCCTTACCCTGTTCAGCCATACCCCTTACCCTGTTCAGCCATACCCCTTACCCTGTTCAGCCATACCCCTTACCCTGTTCAGCCATACACCTTACCCTGTTCAGCCATACCCCTTACCCTGTTCAGCCATACACCTTACCCTGTTCAGCCATACCCGGTTCACCCATACCCTGTTCACCCATACACCTTACCCTGTTCACCCATACACCTTACCCTGTTCACCCATACACCTTACCCTGTTCACCCATACACCTTACCCTGTTCACCCATACACCTTACCCTGTTCAGCCATACCCTGTTCAGCCATACAGCTTACCCTGTTCAGCCATACACCTTACCCTGTTCAGCCATACACCTTACCCTGTTCATGCATGAACCTTATTCTCTTCAGCCACATCAATTCAAATCAGTTCAAATCAATTTTTGTAAATTTTACATACACTCCACACAAATAAAAAACACCCATTTTTTTAAAGATTTTGTTAACAGTACTCTTATTAGTACGATTGATAACAATATTGCACATTTGACAAAAGAAATCCTTCCCTCCTTGACCAAGTCACTTGACATCTGGCTGTTTTGCACCTGTCTGACTTGTGGCAGGCATGTTTCAGACGAATTACCCATGGCTATATATTGAACTGAATTGAACTTCTGGAAAACATTAACACTAAAGTGAACTTCACTTTGAAACAAAAACAAGATATTGATTTCATTTAATTTCTCAAAACATAAAATATAAAGATAATTTGTAAATTCTTTTTTCCATATAACACAAACACCTCAAATAAATGTTTGGAATGATTTAATTAACACAATTCAAATAATGACTTAGTTTCAGTAAACCTATACAACTATTACATGTTTAGAACTGGCTTATGACTTGCATGTTAAAATTCTGCAGTTCATTTAACAAACTCTGTTTCAGAAAAATGCAAATTTCTGCAAAATATTCCTTACGACTGCAGAGTTGTGAAATACAACAGGGACTTAATTTAAAAGAACAAAATAGTAACCAGGTAACCCAATTAATAACCCAAACAATTCTCAAGTGACACTCTTCAATATTGTACGTCTTTATGATTGTTGATAATTAACAAGACTAATTACCTGTCACCCAAGACTACATACAGATGTTTGAACCAATAGCTATGAAAACCTTTTGAGAGGCAGCACATGTTGCCAAATAGGCATTTGTTACATGGTCTCGAGGCATCTTGAGAACCATCCTGTGTCTCATGGACGCTACACCTTGGTTGTGACCCCAGTTCTGCCTCCCCAGCACACAAATACCTGACTGGTCAATGTATTATTAATTCAACCACTTGTGGTCATAAGGTGGGTGGAAAGTGTGATACCTTCAGGTAGATTTGTGTAACGAGAAATCCAGTGGCTTGCAGCATGCCAGTGACCATGGCAGTGCTGTCTTGAGTAAATCTGCTGTTTGTTTGAGTCAGTATAGGACACTGGCTGATGTGTTGTTCTGAATGAATTGAAAAATTAAATTGAATTAAGCAAATCCTTGTCATATACCAGGAAGATACAGCCATGAAAAACTCAGACAGGTCACAACAGAAGTTATCATTGTGATAACAGTAGCCATTATGACCAACCAATACCCATTGAGCTCTGTTTACTTGATAAATAGGGGGCGGTCGGGTAGCCTAGTGGTTAAAGTGTTCGCTCGTCACGCCGAAGGCTCGGGTTCGATTCCCGACACGGGTACAATATGTGAAGCCCATTTCTGGTATCCCCTGTCGTGATATTGCTGGAATATTGCTAAAAGCGGCGTAAAACCATACTCACTCACTCACTTGATAAACAGAGTTGGTCCCCATTACCAGGGCTTGTCGTCAGAGCCGATGATTGACATGATTGAGGATCGGATGTCTACATGATGTGATCTGGTTGATGTGTCTTCATGTCCCTCTGGCGGGGATCGTTGTTCATGCTGTTAACCTGTGGTTTGCCCAGTCCAGAATCAATCCTATAAGGCGACAGTGGTATGTGAAAAGAACGTTCACTCACTTTATAACTGAGATAGTCCTGTGCAGATTCCAGGTTTGAATTGGTCTTTCAGCAATCCATGATCGTCGTAGGAGGCAACTAGAACGGGATCAAGTGGTCAGGCTTGCTGACTTGGTTGATGCATGTTATCGTATCCCAATGGCATAGATTGATGCTCATGATGTCAATCACTGGATTGCCTGGTCCAGAATTGATTATTTACAGACCGCCGTCATATAGCTGGAATATTGCTGAACAACAAACAAACAAATATAGCTGTTATAGCAGGCTCACAGCGACATTAAGTCAACACATTATATCTCCGTTTCACTTTAGAGTACTTTATGACATATGTATGAGATATGTCACAAGGTGGGTTATATAAATAAACATCATAGTTCTCATTTATATCCTCAAATAGAACCAAGCAAAGATAGTTCTTGTTTTCCAGCAGCTGAGCATGTGATTCGTTCAGATATTTCAAGGCCTAAAGGCATGACAAGAAGAAAAAGTAGACCATTTTAGTTATGTTTTTCCTTTCTTGTCTTTTACTTCCAGAACCTAGCTCCTAAAACATGCAAATCTATTTGAAACATTAAGTCTTCTGTAACACCACATGAGACCACATGGCTTTCTTCAACATTGACCTGTCATTTGTAAAATACCATGTCATACTGTCCTGCCTACTCTACATTTGACATCAGGGTTGAACACACATGCCTGATAAATGATGGTCTGGAAAGTCATTGATAAGCTGAGCCAGAATGTTGAATTTTAATAGCACAATACTTCCGATCTGACAGCAATATGTATGAGCTGCCACAAGTTACCAGAGAAAGATCTGTATGTGACACATTTAACATTAACCATTTTAAGTAAGGATCTTGAAAGTTGGGAGTAAACACACTCATCCAGTTATCTCATGATGCTTATCAACTGCAGCATAAGGAGGAGGCTTGTTAATTGAACTGTGCTTACAATTTTAACTGAATTGTGTTTGCTATTTATCTTGAATTTTGAATTTGTATACCTCAGGTAATGCGTGTAATTCAAATGATGAGCCAGGTGTTTTGAGCTATACAATAAGGACTTTCATGGCAAAGTTGAAGCTCATAATTTGTTTCACTTAACAATTGATCATACTTGTTCATGATAGGGCAACCTGATTCATCATGGGTCAGCTGCATCCATCGGGTAATCCTGTAGATTATGGGGCAACCTTGATCATCATGGTGCAACCTGTTTCATCATGGGTCAGCTGCATCCATCGGGGAATCCTGTAGATATTGGGGCAACCTTGAGCATCATGGGGCAACCTACGTCAGCATGGGGCAACCTAGTTCATTATGAGGCAGCCTACAGTATTGGTCAGTTTGCTTACCATGGGGAAGTGTACTTTAAACCGAGCCTTTCATCATGTTCATAAGACGCTTTTAAGGC